AGAGCTCATTGTATGTCCAAGCTGTCCTCAGGCTCACAGCCCTCCTACCTTAGTAGGTGTGCTGGTGTTACAGGTGTGTGCCTCTGTGCCAGGTGCCACATCAGATACCTTGGATCATGTCTGACATCTCTCTAAAGCAGCTTTTCCAGTGTTGAGTGAGATATGATGGCAATGTCGGTCTGTCTGTCTGTCTGTCTGTCTTGGAACCCTGCCTGTGGCAGTTGAGACTGACCTTCAGACATACTCTGAAAGCAGAGTCTGGCCAGCACAGCAGCGGCTGACCCTGACTGGACCCTGGGTATCGCCCCGTAGTTTGTGTGATGTCGAGCTCAGAGCTTCAGCTGGTTGAGTATGATATGGGGAACAGCTCCTTCTTCTGAGGCCTTGGGGAGGTGGTGGGGTGGTGGGGACTAAGTTCAGAAGGCAGCGTGTGATGGGTAGTGCGGATTGTTACTGTGTTAGACCATTCATGGACACACCCACTTTCCCACCTTCCGCTCCTCCCCAGGACTCTGCCTCTCCAACCTTCCCCAACCGTGAAAGGATGACTAAGGCTGTGTCTGTTGGGGAAGTTTTTACGTTCAGGCCTTTGAAGGAATGGTTTGAATGTCTGCATGTGTTTGTGTCCTTCTGTCTTTTCTAACAGAGAAGCAATAATCTGCATCTCTCCATGGTGATGTCCTGTGGTTTTCAGGGGTGTTCCTGCCCTCTCTTCTGGGGTTCCTGCTCTGAGTCCCCATCTCACGGGTGTGCCCCAATGTTTCTGGCCCAGGGATGCCTGGGATTCCCTTGTGCAGGGGAGGACTACCCTCCTCCTAAATTTCAGCTGCTCCACTCAGATCTGCTCTGGGACTGTGCCTTGCCCCGTCCTTTCCTGCAGGACCACATCCCGTGCATCTTCCCAGGCACAACGCTCCGGACAACTATCAGTGTAAACTATGGTTTTACACTGTGGTTTTAGTGATGTCACCTAAATAGTGAGACATTTTCCTGATTGTAAAATCTGTCTCTCCGACTTTTTCAGCGACTCTTGCCAAGGTCACCAGTAAAGCAGTAGTTATTAATTAGACAGCCAGTTTGAACTTTGTGCTAGGGAAAAGGGTGAGTGATTGGGAGAAAGACACTTCTCAGAGAGTGGTGGAGATCTGCTCGGATTGGGAACTGCTGCCCCAGCCCACCCTTACAGTGAGAGCAGCCACAGCCTCTTTGCACCTGCGGCCTGGGTCTTCTTTTACATTTCCCAAGACTGCTTGCTTTTCCGCTGCTGGGGTCCTTTAGCGTTGCAGGACTCGGGGTCCTGTCCAATGCCATCTTGTCTCTCTGTAGCTCTCTCCCAGCTGTGTCCAGCTCTCAGACTCACATTTGCCTCAAGGCTCTAGACCAGTGGTTCTCAACCTGTCTGTTGCGACCCCTTTGAGGGTCAAATGACCCATTCGCGGGGGCTGCCTAGGACCATGAAAATCAAAGATCTTTACGTTCCGATTCATAACAGTAACAAAATTACAGTTAAGAAGTAGCAACAAAAATACTGTTATGGTTGGGGGGGTCACCACAACATGAGGAACTGTATTAAAGGGTCGCAGTGTTAGGAAGGTCGAGAACCACTGATCTAGACCTTTCTGAAACATGTCTGGTTATGTGCATGAGCCCATGTAAGCCACACATGCAGAAGGTGTAGGATTCATTTCCCCAGATTGCTCATTCCTGTTTCCTGGTCTTGACTGATCTTGTCATCTCCTACCAATCAATGGTGCTTGCCCTTTCTCAGGTTCTCATGGCGTAGCCTACCCTGACATCTGATTGGTCCCACACACCCCAACTATCCCAGCAATCTAGGCTCGGTGTTGGCCCTGGGGATTGTAATGGCAGCCTTGTACACCGGCTCTACTTTGTTCCCTGCCTTCCAAGGCGGTGGGGGGAGGGGTCCCAATGCCTTCTTTATTGAGACATTTTCAGTCTTTTCATATCATTATTAAATGCAGAGTGCCCTTGCTGAGTTCGCCCCCTCGTCTTGCCGATGCCCCCTCCCCACAACCCCCCACCCCCGTTTGTCCCTGGGACGTTTGTTCCTCAGGATGCCTTTTCCCTCAGTGGTCAGCATGGCGCTCTCATTTCTTGGGGTACAGGAATCTGTACTGGACACTTTTTAAACAAAAATATAGTCTTGTGTGCCAAAAATTGTGATTGTGTGGAGTGAGGCTTGATCTCCGATGTCCTTGATGTGGAAGACCATGGCGTGAAGAGTAGGTGGTTACAAAAAGTCCGTAAGATTTCATAGGACGCTTCTATCACAGTCGTCACCTCCTTTCTGTTATATAAGAGGGCAAGCAGCGGAGAAAACAGCCCTCGGATAGTGGCACTCTGCCGGCCCCGGGGGACTACTGCTCCGGCCGTCCAGTCCCTTTGTCACCTGCTTTTGACACTCGCCTTCAAGTCTGTTCTTGAAACGCTTTTTGTGCAGCTTCTACAGGCGCTCTGATGTCTGCCAGTGCTCCCGCGTCTGCGTGCCTTTTCCGTTAGAGGCTCGTTACCTGGGAGAGGTCAAGACTTGGCTTCTGTTGTCTCTGTTGCAGGTGCTCTATATTTTTTTTTTTTTTTTGGTCTAATGAAGACATATTTGAGAGAAAGGATTGAAGTTCTTGAAGGTTTGTAGGTCTAGGAATCTTGTGAATAGATGTTAGTCATTCGTGTCAAGAATAGTAGTTTTTCTGATGTCTTTACTTTTGGCTAATTCAAAAACACAGTTAAAACGTGAGGAGAAGCAGGTACTAGAACCCGCTAGGAAGATGTTTGTCTTGCACCAGATGCGTTTCAGAGGACAGTGGTCTCAGACAATGCCCAGCAGGCCTGGCTGTTCTCTGTATTGTAGGGAGTAAGGCCTACTCATCTGTATTGTAGGGAGGGGGAGCTTTATATACAGGCTTCTAGAAGGATTTTCCTGCACATTTCACGAGAATGAGTCTTGTCAGAGAGAATGGCAGCTTTCCTGAAGCCTTCACATTCCACAAGAGACCCTTGTTCTCAGGCCTTGTGGGCGGAGAGCGAGCAGCCTCAGGCTTGCCTCTGCCCGTGAGGAACGCGCCTCTGAGCACTGTGGTGGAGAGTTCAATGGCAGCCCTGCTAGACTTGGGAAAGGTGTGGGATCCCCGCCCAGCACACATCCAGGGTTCTGTGTCTTACCTGCTGACCTTTACCTTTGCTGTAGCAGTGATGTTTAGACTACAGCAGCTCCACGAGGCTCCCACCTCCATGGACAGTCCTGTGTCCCCATCCCACTGGATCTGTAGCCTCTGGGGACTTGGGGGAGCTTGCCCTGAGCATTGTGGGAAACTCGGAGCTTTACTTGCCTACCAGTTGTTAATACCTGAGCCATCTAAACAGGCTCCTACGTCCCTTAACCCAGAGTGCCCCGTGCTTCCCATTCCTGTGTGGTATCCTGCCCTCACCTGCGCACACCTGTCTCCTGCCAGGTGCAGTGCGGGAAATGTGTTGACCCATCGCTTAACCTTGAAGCTCCTCCCCGGGAAATGCCCCATTTATTGGTTTTGGGTTTTTTTTTTTTGTAAATAAAAAGAACTTCGTTTTATATTAACTGTGGTATTTTTGTCTTTAGAATTTAAATGTAACACTGAAGGATTCCAGTCTATTGCTAACACGCAATTTTAATTTTTCTTTGCAGGTCAACTTTGTAGTGTGCCAACTCTTTGCCTTGTTAGCGGCCGTTTGGTTTCGAACTTACCTACATTCAAGCAAAACTAGCTCTTTTATCAGACACGTAGTTGCTACCCTTTTGGGCCTTTATCTTGCATTTTTTTGCTTTGGATGGTAAGTAATTATTTTGATCATGTTTAAATGAACGCTGTTAGGTGTATTTGAGAATTGAGTGTGTAGAGGGATACATTATATAGGATTTTGTTTTGAAATTTACTTACAAAGTTTTCTTTCAACGCTAACTTTCAAAATCTTTACTTTTAGTCTAGAAACAATGGATTGGGAATGGGAATCTCTCGAGCTTTGTCGTAGGGAAGATTTACTGTTTGTAATTTATGAACGGGGTGCAAGGAGGACTTGCAGAGGCAGTCTGGTGTTAAGTAGCTCTTTTCACCCATCTTGAAAATATTTTATGCTGAAACAAGCAATAAATTGTGTGTTGTTTGTCCCTTTGGGTTTTCTCTGTGCTGCTGGCTCTGGGAAAGTATGACCCTCATACTAGGAGCCATGAAAAGGCTTTTGTTTGTTCTCGGCGGAGAAAAAATGAAGAGAAAAGTTTTTACTCAGGATCCTTCAAACGTGTGTGTGTGTGTGTGTGTGTGTG